AAGTAGCGGCAGAGACAACATATGATGAACTGACCGCAACCCCCATTCCCCATCCCCCTGTGCTGCTTGGGGTGGGGGAGGTAGAGAAATTGGGAGTGAAGTTGAGCCTGGGAAGAAGGGAGGGGTGGGGCAAAGGAGTTTTAAGATTTGGGGTTTATTTCTCATTTTCCTACTCTGATTTGATTGGCAATAAATTAAATTAATTTCCCCAAGTCTACTCTTTCTTGCCTGTGACAGTAATTGCTGAGTGATTTCCCTGTCCTTACCTTGACCCACGAGCCTTTCATCATATTTTTCTCCCCTTGTCCAGCTGAGAAGGGGGAGTGATAGAGCAGCTTGTTGGCACCTGGCATCCATCCGGGCCAACCCACCACACCAAGTAAGTAAGTTTTGGAAATCCATGAAAATGATCAGATAGCCTGCACGTGATGGGGGATCCATCAGTGGCAAGGAAGACAATGCACAGAATATTGACGTGATTCAGATCTTCAGAATACTGAAGAAAGCTGTTGTGGAAAGGAAAGTAGCCAGCTTTGAGATTCAGAAAAGCCTGCTGGAGCTGTAGGGATCTTAGATTACCAAGGCAAAAATTCAAAAAATTACACCATTATAACCCTATTTTCTTTCTGCAAATGCTACCTCTCTTCTCCAGCTTCTAGTCTAACATGGTGAAAGATATCAAGGAACCCTACCCCTTTCTTAGTTACATTAATGTATTTTGTAAAAGGGACAGGCCATAATTCCCATGTACCTGCATTTAGATAGGCTCACATTCCCCTGATATGTGTGACTGGCAGAGGAAGAATCCAGATTTAGCTAGGGCTCCTTTCTAAAAATAGGCAATCAATTTCAGTTCAAGGTTCTCAGGTAATAGGAAAAGAAAATGATTTTGCTTGGGCACATAATGAGCTTGGATAATCAGTTTTCCTGCTCAAGAGCAATGAATACAAGGGTTTAAAAGAAAAGGAATTTTATTAAAAGGGATAAAATGGCAACTCAGCATAAACACTGGTAGGCCTGTTTACTAAAATCAGCAATACAACCTGAAAGCTTCTTGGTAATGTAGTCCATTCCCCTGTTTTGCACAGAGCTGAGAGAGTCCATTGTCCATCTGTAAGGATATGTTGCTCTTAAACCTCTCTTACTGTTTCCAGCTGTGGTGATCCCACCTCTGATACTGGGTCGCCGCTCTTGGCAGTGTCAGCCCATGAAGCCTTGGTTCTGTTTGCAGTCCCACACTGCCCCCTCAACGTTCCAGATCCTCAGAGAGGAGTCTGTGGCAAACAAAACCCAAAGATAACCCTGAGGAAAATACCATTTGGGTTTGGGTTTTGTTTTTTTTTTTTACTTTCTTGCTCCATGGCTCCTTTGCTCTACCACTATCAAGGGGAACACCACAGGTAATTCCTAATCCTCAAAACACCATTGCCTCTTGATGGATAACAGTGTTTTAAATACCTTCAAACTTAAGACACAATTGTATTCCAACCCCAGTGTGCAAGACTGAAATCCACTGAAGTCAATTCACTTGCTCCCTCTTTGTTGTAATCTCCAGCCTTTTCAAGCAGCGCTGGATTTCTCTTTTACCCCATTATAGGCGGGATCAGCAGTAAGTACTCCATTCTTTTAGGAATACTGGGCTTATCTCAGGATAGACGTAGCTCTGAATTTAAGTTTTATTTCAGTGCAAGCTTTACAGCATAAAGAATTGATCTTAATAGGAAGCTGAAGACTCTGATAAGAGTTCTTGCAGTGACTATCTGCTGTTCTTACAGTTGTTACCATTTCTTTAAGGAGCCATTCAAAACCATTTGCAGTCGAGATACCAAAGATTGGAATCGTTCAGGATAGCACAAGAGAGGCAGAAGTCAGAGGGTTAAATGAAAAGAAAAAAAAGATTGGCTGGAGAACAGGAAACCTTTATTAAAAGTGATATGCTGCAGAATGGTCTGTGCCTCAACTGCAGGAACTCATAAGCCTAAAACTGGGAAATACCCATTTCTGCAAGAAATAGTAGAAGGCATGAGGACGGTGCTGCAGAAGCTTCTATTCTCTCTCTTCTATTTCCAATTGCTATAGTATGATTATCTATTTTTCAAGTGCATTGACTGTTTATAGATAACTGAAACAGTTCTTAAATAGCTGTTTTTTGTGAATGATTTAGCTAAAGCAGAGAAGAACCCATTTTTAACAAGTTCTGCCCTGTCAGATAAAAACATTGGCTCGGAGCTGCCACCCAATGATCAGACCTTGTAAAATCACTTAAATACAGGCTACCTATGTTGCAAAGTGCTGAGTTCAATGAGACAATATAGTGGAGACCAACTAATTTCTCACTGCCCAAAAAAGGCAGTGAAAGGCCATTTGCCCCTCCACTCCCTTTCCACTCCTCTTCCCCAACATCTGCATACCCCATCACTCATTGCCTTGCCTGCAACAAGGTCCTTTGCTCAGAAAATTTAATTTGTTAACCTTGTAACTTTGCTTTTTGCTTCTGTATTGATTTTCTGCTGGTCTATCAAGTTGAATCAGTTCAGAGTGTGGGCAGGGAAGTGTCAGCACCAATACAAAACAAGCAAGAAGGAATGAACTGCTAAGAGCAGAGGAATGGGTAGAAGGGAGATTTCATCTGCAGTGAGCACTTATTTCAACCCTTTTCTTGTCTAACTGCATCTGACATGCTATTTGGAGATTCCAAAGCTGGCTTTAAATACACATGTTTGGCTACCCAAAGCACTCTAGTCAACACAGAGTTCCACACAGGGTAATGCTCCTTGCCAAGGTTCTGGCTAAATTAGTCTGTTCAGCACTCTGAGACTTCAAGTATTGATTGCTTCCAGTAGCTGCGCTGTCCCATTGAAAGCTATCTCAGGTATCTCTGCAGCTTTCAGTGTGTCACCCATCAGAAAGTGTTTACTCCTGGCTGAGCTGTAACATTTGGCAAAGCAAAGAAGATGAAGGGGGCTTGCCATGTGTATGTTCATTTTATGTTCATTTGGCATCAAACAGCTGTCACGCATTTGAGTGCATTATACAATGCCAACTATTTTGTACTATTTAAGTGCTTATAAAAATATTTTAATTTGTAAAAAACATACAAAGTGACTTCACTCCACTGCAGGAGGCAAACACCACAGTTTGTGGCAGAGGGTAGTGGTGCACTGACAAGGCCCTTCAGTTAGTTTTCCTTCTGATCTAGTCTCTTCATGAGCCTTTCATGGGTAGCAAAGTGCATTTACTCCAAGCTGTGCCATAATTCTGCAGTCTGCCTGCCCTTATGTCTATTTCTAATAGACATTAGAAATAGACCCGTCAATCTGTATGCTGATTCAGCCCACATGTTATGTCTTGTATGTGTATTAGCTAACTGTATCCAGAACTGCCTGCTTTCAGTATGCCAAACAGGTTGTCAGTAGATTTCTGTTCAGCTCCATGTTTTCTGGATTAGGACTTGCTGCGGTCTCAGAAGACAGGTTTTATTGAGTACTTGGAGTCATGTTGGTCATCAGTGCTGGATGCAACACAGAGAACAGGGTGTTCTGACAGAGCTGCTGTTCAGCTGAAGACAGGAGCCACTTGGTGCTGATGCACAAGAAAAACCCACAGGGAGGTTTCTGCAAGCTGCCATTTGGCCAGTCTCCCTAATTTGAAAGACTTGGACATGTGCCTGGAAACATCTGAATTCCAAATGGTTAATTATTGTTGGTGGAAAATGATTATCACTTGATTATCATTAGTTACATTTTAACCTCCTTCACTACTTTTATGAAGTCAGCGTATTTTTATCTAATCCCCAGCCGGCGAAGGGTAAAGTAACAATCCTAATTCTGCCCCAAAACCATTCATATCAGGGAGCAAAGCATCAATCTTTTAAAACGGTGAAAGCTTGGGACCAGATGGGAAAGATCAGGGCATCGCTATTCCCAGACACGTACTTTGTGATTGCTGCATCAAACTGCTATGCTTTGGAGCTGGAAGGCAGGATCCTGCAATAAGGGCCATTAAATACTGTGAGAAAAACACATCAGGAAGCCCTAAAGACCCTGCATGTCCTGCCTCATTCAAGCCTTTGGGTGGTCCTTGGTCGCTGTCCAGATACACTCTCTGAGTTTCAGATTATGCAGACTGTATGGTGAACACATGTGCTTCTCTCTGAGAGTCGTTTATCTTTGACTTAGGGAAAGGGCTGACAGGGGTGAGTAGGGCTTGTGAGAGCTTCAGTAGGGGTCCATTTGCAGATTGGAGAAGTCCTGGGGTTTCTTGCAGCTTTCCTGTTCCCTTTAGGTGGAATAATCTGGGTTTTTATTTCATTGGCTTGGCCCGCAAATAGTATGGGCTTTAGTGAATACCCTGATGCCTCCTCTTCTCAGGTGAGTTTCCATTTGTTTTCGCACATTCCTGCAGCTCCCTGCCAGGGTAAGAGTTTTCCCTGAAATCTTCCACATGGCAGATATAACAGCAAAACTAGAGTGGTGGGGAGAGAATGCTCCTTTCCTACTCCATGTAGGCATCTGGTGCCAATCATATGGATTTGTGCTCAGGTTATTGAGTGGACACTGTTTGGTGCCTTTCTGGCAAGAGAGCCTGAATTCACCTCGGAAGCATCAATAGGGAGCCGGTTCTTTGCTTGGTGTGTCTAGCTGCTATGTACATACAGGTCCAAAACTTCCCCGTGTGGGAGTTTTAGAGCCTTCTGTGTGGGGAGAGGTAGGGAGCATCCAGGTCCTTGGGCAACCCTGGTTCATTTCCAGTGCATCCTCTGTACTTCTCTCTGGCCTGCTGGGGCAGCTGTTGAAGTTTCATGAATCTTCTGGCAAACATGAGCTTGCACACACACACACATACACGTGCACACACACACGCACACACACACCCCCACCCTGCCATCACCCTCTTACACCGCTCACAGGTCCTACTCCACCTGATGTGCTCAGCAGATGAATTTCTATATGGCCTCCTCTCACCAACACATCCCTCTGCAAGGGTGTGTGCCTCACACTAATCAGGTCCACCATACCAGTGACCAACAAAGTGATTTTTTTTTTGTATTCACATTCAGATTTATCTTGCATTGCTCTCCCCAAAGACACCCTAATTGAGAGGCGAAGAGAGCACCAGCAACAAATCTGCTGTTGACAACTAGCAAGTAATGGGTTTGTGCTTATATGGAGGTTTATTAGATGGCTGAGGAAATAGATCCCTCGCTGAATGCACTCCATTCCTCAACCTTCATCTTCTAAGGCTTGCCTTTTTTCTTCTCATATTTGTCCTCCAGTGCTTTCTGCAGGTTAAGATTTAAGGCATTTTTCTGATGCCATTTCCCTGTAAAGAAGGCAAATCATAGTTCAGTTACAGCCTCCCTTCTATTGCTATTATCCCTCAAGGATTTTTCTAGCTGTAGAGCTCCTCTCTTGTGAAAATGCCAATTTCTAGTCCCCCCCCATCTTTGCCCAAACCCATCCATTGTCCTCTGCAGAAGCAGCACCCATCTCAGAAATTCAGTAACGTACTTTTCCTGGCAGAAGCCATACCTAGCTCATCAGTCCTCCTTCCATGCCAATTCTT